TATACAGCTCGCTGTCACGGGCTGAAGGCGAGGATTTGTCGATTGGGTATTAAAACGAGCGTCTCAATGGACAGTGTAAAGTGTACGGAATATCAAAGTATAACCCCCCAGGCATGGCAATATGGCAGCGGTTCGTCGCATACAGTACCACGCAATTCAGAATATGCTAGCACAGTTCGCTGGGGTTTTAACTACCCCCAACGTGTGGCAGTTCTCAGTAATTAGCATGTAATTATAGGAAGTCACCTTGGTTTCACCTTATCAAAATATAGTCGCATGGCCAAATATGGTCGCTTCATGGCCAAATATGATAGATCCAGGGCTAAATACGGACACTCCATGGCCAAAAATGGTTGTTTCTCGGCCAAATATGATGATATCCAATTATGGTCGCCGTGAATTGAACATGATCGCTTCATTGCGCAATGTGGTTTCATCAGTATGGCATGCCCGAATATGACAACTACATATTATAGTCGCTTCATTGCCAAACATGGCGATAACCAAATATGTTCGCCGCATATTTAAGTATGGTCACTGCATGACCAAATATAGTGAGTTGCTTGGCCAAATATCCTGAGTGACTTCATTGGATACTCATATATGTGTCACGGTGTATTCTATTGATTTTTAGGTTGGTCGTAATACGGTGTTTGGCCGTCTAACGAAAACAAATGTAGTATTCATTATTTTCTCACAGGTTAACACCAACAATGGGTGTTAATGTTTCACTTTTAAGGACGGCTAGACATTTTGTTATTCCGTAAAACCAATCAGTCGACGTAGAATGCCCCGAGCGCTAAGGTTGCCAATCACACAATCATCATGATGCAATGGTTAATACAAAGCGCTATGTTCAAACACTTACATCACCTACGGGAGGGTTTTAAAGGGTCGAAGCAAATTTAACGATAACGAATAACGATACACATAAATAAAATATAAATTCAATAACCTGTAATATGCATATGCATCCTTGATTAGAATAAATATTTCACAAAATGAGCAAGTTACCGATATTTACCGATATTTCATGCGTATCTATTGTAATGTGCTGCAAACAGTTTTGTTTTCTATATAGAAATTGTAATCCAATATAAACCCGCTTCCAGACAATTCCTATAAAAGATATCCCCTCCATTCAAACAAGGTTTACACGAGAAATAGAATTAGAGTAGCCACATTGTCCGTTAGCGGTTTAAGTTATGTTGTGTAAAACTTGGCAAGCAATGTTTTGATGAATTCGTCTACACAGAATGACGAGAAGGACATTGTAAAGTGAACTTCATGATACGCCGGAGACAGAGACATTGTATTTACTATTTGTATTTACTATTTGTTATGTTAGATGTTGTTCATTTCCATAAATAACATAATAATTATGTTATTTGCAAAACTGTCCTTGCATGGTCGGGTACTAGTGCTAGTGGGGATGAAGAGTCGTGGAAAACCACCTGATGATTTTACAATTCTTAAAGCCGCTGTATACTAGGATATATCTGAAATCCAGATTATAAAGTTGTCAGCATCGGAAAAATAGTTATATTCACTTCTTGTAGGATCCTACAATGTAAAACAAACAAGTGTTTGTTTTGTATCAGGGGTTTATATTTGTAATCTTTCCCGGGAAAATATTAATTATATTTAAAAGATATTCGGCTTAATACCAGAAAAAATATAAAGCATTACATAGACAAATTTTATTGTTTAATTAACTTGAAGACAATTTGGGCTTTTAGGGTACGAGGCGCGCGGTCCGGGGTGGGGGTCTCGTGACGGCGGATAATTGACAACGACGGCTAGACGAAGATAAGGACGAAGGAAACATTTCCTTTTAAACCAGTATTATTTCCACAATATCATTATAGCGCAATATTGTAGAGTAGATGGCATTCAAACATTTATATATCTAAGGTTTGCTAGTTTTTATTTTGAAATTATTGATATCAATTCACGTACATAGTCGCCCAGGTCACAGGGGTGTTAGTGTTGAGAATTGTGTTTTGGTGTGTACACCACCAGCATCGATATCACTCTTGTGTCGCCCACATCATCATTCAAACTCACTCGATCGCAAAATACACATCTGTATTGAAGCAAGGCGGCAGGTCAGCAGGTGACTGGCGATGAAGTTCTTGCCGGCGAGCATATCATCACGCGAGATGAAAAATTGCAACCAGCTATTTGAAAAAATGTAATACGAATTACTAACGCCTAACGGCCTTTTTATAAAAAGTGATGACTGTTTCTAGATAGTGGTAATTTTAAGTTTGTAGAGCGAGCACTTTATTAAATGTTATTTCTACACGAGTGAGAAATAAAATCTAATGACCGCGTATACAGGGTATTGGATGTTATTTCGTAATTATAAAGATTTGTTGGCTGGTTAAACTTGAGTGGAGAGTTTCGATTTATTGACTTGTCATTGAATTGGTGTTTTAACCTTGCACCTCGTATATAGTTATATCCTAGTAACTTTTGACGGGACACTGTCAACTTAAACGAAGGGTGGGCAGGTCATTTCGATTCAGCCCCGTGGCTGGGCGAGCCTGGTATAAGTTTGACATTCCCGTCTAACATAACAGGCGCTTCTATAGAAACAATGCTTATTGCAAATCGTCTTCAAGGATAATACTTCTTTGTTCTAGCTGTGATTTATGGTCGACCCGCAAACAACACTCAATTTACAAGCAGTATCATTGGATTCTCTGTATAGTAATCTCGTATGTCCTGGGACATGTACCTAATTCTAAAGACACGCCGTGACGTGCAACATACTACAAGGAGATACAAAGGTGATGTTTTCAAATAAGATATTACACCGGTAAACGGGCTTACAAAATGGTGGGTTTGGATTGTCAGCGCAACTTTTGTGCAGGAATAATGTAGACACGCTCGTTCTTGAAAACACTGCTTGTTCAGTTGTTTGTTTCAGTTAGAGCGCTCATGTCTGAGGATATAGCTGCGTTGTCGTGTTCGTGTTTAATTTTTTTTCAAAATTAATCCATTATATGTACAATCGAAGCCTGACTATTTTGGCATATTAGAATGTTTACCGATATTGTTAAAACTAGCCATATTATTCATACACTTACGTGTACAAATGGGTTAAAGGGCGGTGGTCGTCGCGCAGCGCGTGTTCGAATTTCATGTAAACAAACAATGCATTTTACACGCGTTGTATACGTCGCTATGAGTCCCATATCAACCAGGACGCGGCGCGACGACTACAGTCCTTTAAATAATAGACCTATTCTGGGTTCTATGCTAGAAAACATATGATATTTAGATGAAATTTTCTTAAACTATAACTAAACGAAAACCTAAATGGTGTTACGTCATCATCCTAATTTCCCGTCCGATTTCAAGTGGCCTACCCGTAAATTAGCGCGGTTTTAAGCGTATTACAACAAACTAGCTGCTACCCCGTATTCACCAATAGTACCACGGCCGTAACTGTTCGCAGGTGTAACACATCGCGTGAAAATGTTTGTTCTACTATTGGTGACAGATTCTGTTCACCCACGAATAATTCTATAGACTGCCCTCTGTCGACCGTAACTCGTCATCAAATACTCTAATCCCACCACTTTGTACTATGTCACGTGACGACCTGGACTTATTGACTAAATATTATGTTTCTCTCTATTCGAGATAGAAATTATAATTACGCTGCTCGTGATTTTGATTCAGTTTGAGTGATTTCGATTATTTGCATTTGTACAGTATAACAAGTAGAAGGTCGTCACGTGGACAGTGAGTGTGTGGTTACATATCCAGTTCCGTAGACGTGAAACATATACATTACTCCCTACATTACTTCTGCTATAACCCACTAAAATGGGTAATTTTGTTGTAACCTTGAAATGCTAGGTTGCCCTCACATGGTTTATCCGGACCTGACTGTTGTAAGAATTGCACAGATTTGAAATTTGGTACTAATGTTCACAAACAAATTTTCTACAACTTGGCCATGGCCGCATATTTCTACTGCATTTGTGAGGAAAGTTGTGCCCTGACACAGTTGGTACTTTATTTTTTTTTAAATCACTTTTTTTTATTTGGAAAGTTCTCTATGTTTTCTTTTACTAAGTCATGTATATTTTATATGTACATGTAGCTCACATTCTCTTCTTTAAAACTAGGTTACTTGTTATTTAGCGGGTAAAACCGATAAAACTCGCAGTGCGTTGGCGGTGGTTGCAAACGCTGTTATGCCGGCGTCATTTCACTACAGTTTTCACTGCTATGTACATACATTTTAAAGAAACATCAACCTCAGCATATTTTGCATGAAAGTATTACATTTTCAGAGGTTCGTGCTTGAAAGGAGAGCTCTAGTACAGACATTTCAATGAAGACCCTCAAGAGATGTGATAGAAAGAGGTGAAATCAACGTGTTGAAGGAGTTGTTTCATTCGCCCTCAACGACGTTCATCGTATCTACGCGGAGTACGCACTCAACACTCAATTTCTACTCACTCGACACCACCTAAAATTCAGTATTATCATCCCATAAAACTACACGTACTAAAGAACGAACACCCCATAAAACAACAGTTGCTTAAGAACGAACATCCTTATAAAAACAAGTTACTAACGAGCACTAACATTCTTTGCATGTAATATTATTTCTATATATTTTACAGAATGTGAGCAGACATCAACAAAGGGAAAGTTAACACGAACATAGCAACGACAGATTGTACTTTTGGCTGACGGTGTTATCGGCAATCTTCGGAAATGACGGAGTTGCACGAAGCCGCGTCAATGGGTGACAGTGACCTGTTAGAAGAACTGATTGACAGCGGGAAATACGACATTAATGGGAAAGACCATGAATGGCATAACAGAACGCCACTACACTGGGCTGCTATAAAAGGTAGTAATATTTATATGAAATTTAATTAAATTTAATCTTTTCACCACCAGAATTTCTCGCCCAAATTTATCTGAACTTTATTTCTTATATTCTTCAATATTTCTGGAAATAAACCCTAATTTTGGAGCCAATTAAAACAATTTGAGTCAATTTTCAGTTTTTACTAAAAAAAATGTTTTCCAATCTTCTGAAAATGTGGACTATGGAGGAGACTATTTCGTGAATTTGTGATGAAAAGAGGGAAATGGTGGTGAAAAGGTTAACTAGGGTTGATGCAGGGCGCGATAAAGTCACTACGACTGACGATCAGCACATGCTTGGACACTTGTATCGGATTTAATATTGAGATCGAAAACGCATTTTTCTTAAATTGTGCAAGCAATTTATCTGCACGATCTTGAAACCAACGGATTTTTTTTTATAAATAAGGATATGGGTGGTATTTTTGGAGGGACATTACTATGTTTTAAAACATTCATCTAAAAGCAATCCAAACGAATGGGGTTTTACATATAGAATCTCAGAAGTAGGAATTATGGAGACAGAATCGATCGGGGAAGGCAAAATTTCTATGGTGGGCACATCTGGGAATTTCGTGCTCGAAAGAATAGGAACGAGGGTGAAAAGCTATTATTTTTTTCTCCCGAACTTTAAATTATTCCAGCGTGTTTAGCAAAATACATCATGCGCCTCCGCATAAATATAACGTTACACTACAAGCCCCTATCCTGGCGATGAAATGACTCTTTTCATTATCAATATTATATTCCCAGGTCACGTGGAAAGCATCCGAATTCTGATTGACAGTGGTGCTAAAACTGGTTCACGAACTGATGTCGGTTGGACGGCGCCACATTTCTCCGCAGAGGGCGGTAAACTGGGTGCCTTGAGGGTGATGCATAAAATGAATTCACCGATGGATAGAGAAGACAAATACGGTGATACGCCAAAGAAAATAGCGGACATATACGGTCATAAGGAATGTGTCAAGTTTTTGGAAATGTAAGATAAAAAATAAATAAATCTGAATTACCATGAGTAGGTTGAAAAATGCTGCGGGTTCACTGGTTGAAAAACTTTGCAATTAATACGTATTTGTTTTTTAAGAACACGAAAGGAACGTACTTGTAGTATTGATGTGTTTCACATTCATTTTTCGATCTCGCGTTGGTCGCGTTATTACGTACGTATTTGGATGATTCCAATTTTGATACACCATGTAGTAGGCTATACTTAGCTTATTCCTGGGAAATGGTTACCTTATTAGTTTTAATGCTGCTCTCTTCGACAAACGTTTTTTTTTTTATATGTCACGCCCTCTAGCGGTGACGCACTAATGTGACGTAAAATACTCGCGACGTAAAAAAATGTGTAGTCGTCGGTCATTCACAGATCGGACTAATACCAATGTCGTGAATGGCTTTCTATCATCCCGTTACGTCACGGAATCACTTCGTCGTTAGAGGGCGCGACGTATTGGCTGCCGTCAGCCCCGGCACATCGGAATGTCATTTAATTCTCTAGTGCGCATGTCATGATTATTTTCTGTTACTTTCAGTGCGGAAGCTGAATATCGAGAAAGAAAACAGAGGGCGCTGGAACTGAATGTGCCGATCGAAGACGAAGACTCCGACTGGGAGCGAGAACTCAACGGGGAAACTGACGATTACGAGAGTCGACCGGCTTCTGTGAAAGACTCTAAAAAACATAGAAAAACAGGAGTACACTCGAGATCGGACAATCATTTGAAGCCAGATAGACCAGGATCAGCAAAAAGCTCCAAATCCACGAAAAGCGACACTTCTATGGTGTCATCTAAAGATAGTGGTTCGGACAAAAGTACAAGCACGAAAACGTCGAAAGGATCGTCCAAGAACGAGAAATTGGAAATGGAATTGGGGAAAAATAAAAACGCCGAGGACGAAGCGGACGGAAAGTCAAGGAAAAAGAAAAAGGAAAAAGAAAGCAAAAAGTTCACAGATGTATCACGGGAAAAGGAACAAGAGAATGAAAAGCCAAAAGACGATAAAGCGGAGAAGAAAAAGAAACGGGAAAAGGGAAAGGACAAAGACAATGAGACTAAAAATGCAAAAGTTGAAGAGAACGGAGCCAAGAAAAAGGAAAGGGAAAAGAACGGCAAAAAAGAAAAAGCAGAGAAAGTCAAAACTGAGAAGGACGAACTAGAACTAAAACCTGGCAAGGGGACTATATCCCATAAGCATACTGGACCAAGCGTCATCAAGAAATCTTCCAATAAAAAGAGATCATGATGATGACGATATGCCTGTTTTGCATATGGCCCGGGCATGTGTATAGGATACAGTTTTCAGAATCGGAGTGGAATGGTGCCTCTCATCCTCAGTACTTCTCTAATTTGCATAAGTTCAAAAGACATCAATCAGAGTGTGCGCATGTCTGTTTTTTCTGTTCTGCATGAGCTAACTACGAGCTTCATAACCAATGCGAAAGACGTGTGGACACGCTATGGCTGATTTGACTTCTTGACTACTAGTATTTGACTTGCTGTGAGACTCGCATGACGCATGCGCAGTGTTTCTTCACAACGGGCCCAGCTTGGCTTTGTCCTCGCTTGAACTGTGCTACTGTCAGAATGTATTCTTGTTTTCGTGTGCAGAGTTTCCAAACACTTTTCTAAACTGACTCAAAAACTCTGCTTACTATCCGGTGGACCTTGAATTTGCACAAATTAGCAAATAACTGGGGTCGAGATGCATCATTAAAATTGAATTTAGTTCCTTTTCATTTACTAATCGTTTGTCAGTGTCAGATTATGGCCGCGATGGAAATGAATAATTAATGACCATATTTACATAATTTCGACTTTTTCTCAAACAACCGTTTTAAATTGCTATGACAATAATAGTTTTTTTGGTGACGCCGCAGTGAAGTGTAGGTAGTAATAATATTTTTTCAAGATATTTTATTATGTAGAATGAACACCGTCGCAGACGCCTTCGTAATTAGTAGACAGTGGAAGTATCATTCTATTTGCTAAATCATAATCATGACAACACTAATTTACATATTTAATATTATTATTTGAGATAATGCTATGGATTGATTTTATTGTACACTGTTTAGTACTGTGGTTTAGTCCTTTGAATGCATTTCTTGTCACGGTGTCGATACTGACAGGACAGTAGGACTCCCTTGTATGCAAGAATTCTCGTATTGCTATTCATTGTTTTTACAATAATAACAAAATCACCAATCTCAAGTGATAGAGTTCTTTTCTTGCGACAGTGTTCGTGTGTTCGTGTGTCCGTGTGTTCGAGATTGGCAATGGAACGCCTGAGCTTGGCAGAACAGGTAAGGTATACTAGTATCTTGGTAATGTGGTTGGTAATTATGCGTATGTTCAACGAGTTGGGACGGACGTTCTGAATTTTTAAAGTTATACAAATATATTGGGTGTCTAATACAACCATGGCATTATAAATACTCTATTGTTATATCTCACTTGAATAAAGAACGTAGTCCGCCACATATGCAATAATGCATTGTCCCGCGAGTCGCGCTCCCGTCTCATCACTCACACTACGCCCACAAATTTTAATGATTTGTCTTTTACTGGACTCGGGATTATGGGCTCAAAAATAACTCATCGCGTCGATATTCGTTACTGCGCCCTCGACGGCAGGATTTAATTATGAGTTCCTTTGAAACCCATCGGCGAGGGCACACTCGGAGGAGGTACACTAACATTCAGCGACAATCCCCACTATCATGGGTAGTATACAGTTGAACGCTGTGATATCAGCATTGAACAATAACATATTTTTGGCACTTTCGTGGCCACTAAAACAATTAAACGCAGCCAGGTTACTGTACCAGGCTACTTCGTAAACGCGCTTACTGTAAAAACAAATATGGGAGTATTTATTGACACACTGCCCGCACTTTTACATTAATACCGAAAGTAGAGTTTTTTATATCGCCATTTGTTGCGCTAATCGAAGAGTTCGGATCCTTTTGAAAACTCTTCGCTCTAATGAAAAATACGTTAAAATGGACAGCTGGATTAGGAAATTCAGGCTCTAGCGACGTTCTTTTTTTACAATTTTAACGCTAATAATTATAGCAGATAAATGACGCTATAAGTCACAATAAAAACGGGTCGATTTTCCAAATTCGGGACAGTTAATGGACACCGTGACAGGGGATGGCAAACATTTAATATAAAACTGTAAAACGTAACCCTGTTAATACTTTTCAGTACAATCTAATTAAGGCAGAAGCCTACTCATGAATGTAAATAACAAGAATTTATTCATTTTCCAATAAATTGTACTTTCGGTCATTAGGAGGATATTGACTTTGGGGTCACCAGCTTAATTTTAGAGAAAATGATGGTTGTATTTTAGTGGATAATTGCCATTTTGACAGTATTATGACGCTTTTACCACAGGTTTTTATGGCAGATATTATGACATACTTCAAATTGTAGGCTGGTAACATAGGCTGAAAAAATATATTGTGAATGATGAGGCACTTATTGTTGTCCTAAATTATTTCAAAAATTTGGGTTTTAAAAAGAAACAAAAACATTGTGCTCAATGGAATTCTTCTAAAAATAGCGATTTTTTTAAATATGAGGACAGGTTTTTCATAATATGTCACTGCAAGGCACAAAGGAAAGCTAAAGCTCTGTCATTTTACATAATAGACCAACGCGATTTATGACCAACTTTTTCAAAAGTTATGATTAGGCTTCTACCTTATAGCGAGATGTATTGTACGAGCGTTTTAAGTTTTGCCAGCTACCCAATACATACATCTGTCCAGAACCTATAGAAGATCTCATTCATGCGATCGCTTCAGAGTAAATCACTCAACTAATCAGTGAACGCCACGTTTCACTTCTAAACTGTATCGGTGTCATTCCCGCATATGCAGCCCCACCGTTTGATGTTTGAAGCTAGCATACTGAGAGGACCTTCGAAAGTGCGATATTTAAACAAGACCCTCTATGAAAGTTGGTCAGATATGCGCAACTTTTCAAAATGACAAACACAGCACAGTAAATGTAAGCAACTTGAAACAAAGAACATTATATTCAAATGTCACACCACAAGATCTTATTTTAGTTAGATTGTATTCAGTCTGGGCACTAGCCGAAAATGGCGACTACTCTTTTCCAGAATCGAAAGTTGGTACTAAGATCATTTGCGGGTTTGTGGTACGCGTTATATTCTGACCGAATATATCATCTAATTATCGTCACTTGTACACAAACAAATAACCTCAAACGAATGTATTTTTTTCAGAATTTCGCTGCATTTCAGATTAAAGTTGTGTTTGCTATGCCATGGCAGTAGCGTGATTGATGGATATTTGGATCCGATTAGTGATCATTTTACCGAAATGTTTTTATACGGACGAGGCAACAGAGTTTAAGACGTACTCGGACACTGAAATCCACAAGTCATCCATTCCGCGGATTGTTTGGTTATTACGATAAGTTGATGTGAGAGGGATTTTTTTTTTAATTTTCAGGCGAATGCCTAGCTTATAATTGGTTTGACTTATTTCTCAGTTATACCGGGTTGTTGTCAAACTCGCTTTGTTGGTCTATAAATAATGAATGGAGGCTTGTAGTTGGCATATACACTGGAATTTCCGAACATTGGAATATTTGTTAATGAATACGTATATATTCTCAGTAAGGTTTCAATTTTCCCCAGGATGATAGAAACGTGTCACCATCCTTGTTTTACAGGGTATTTTTGAGCTCTGGTGTCAATTTGGAATTTAAACGAGCATTAGTCTCAAATCAAAGTCAATTTTTTATTTGTAGTAGTAAAAACATTTCAGGCCTCATTGGGATTAACATTCAGGGGTCTTACTTGAAGTACGATACTCAACAGCTCCGGGGTCTTACCTATTAGGGTAGTCAACTCAATTCATGAATTGGCCCTCTTCATGTTTTTCTTCAAACTACTAAGCCATCTAGCGAGATATCCATTCACCATCTCTGTTCATTTCAGCAAATACACTCTAAATATACACATTGGTGTCGTACTTACTAAATTGTCTAATCTTGAGAAATCCAGTCCGTGTGGTAAGCTTTGCTGTAGAGAGAACAGGCATAGACGGTGATATCAAATTAACAAGTCTGGTTCTGGCTTCATTAACAGCTCCACGCTGCGTTCACATCGCCACAGGTCATACATATTTTTCAACGCCGTGCACGACAGGAATATTGCGCATAGGAAAGGTTACCGACCGGTTTTCAACTATAGCCGTGAGCCCACCATCACAATTTAACTAGCTCACAGGAGTGCGTTTTACCAAAAAAAAGTCAGCTTTATTTCGTCAACTCAACACATCCCCAGGTAACCATGGCAACAGCAGGTAAACATGCATTGAATCGTCGGGCATCGACTTGTTGCATTCTTCATAAAAAGCTGTGTTTAGTGGAACGCCTTTTGGTGCACACCAGGCGGAACATGACAAATCCCATGTCAAACACGAATGAAAAGAAACCACACGAGTCTACTTTGTTTGGTATTTGTTAAACTTTACACAGAGATTACATTCTTATGTCGTTTCTCTTCAGAGATATTTGATCAGAAAAATCTTCCACTTTTACTGAAACACATACAATCCTAGGGAAGGAATTAGACATAGCTAGAATGACAAATCTACAATTTACAACACATGCGATGCAGTACAGTGCGTTTATACAAAACATGCTATGAGACAAACTTGAATACAATATTTATCTCAATTCTCAAATTTCCCCGTATAAACGTGACTAATATACGTTTTAAAATGTATCTGTTGAATTATAATTCGTTCAATGCATTGAAAGTTAGAATATGACAAATCAGGCAGTTTCTATGGTAATCATTTTTCTATTTGCTGGTTAGATGTTTCAGTGCATGCGTATTTTAAGTAAAAACTCGCGACACACAGACATACTGTGACGGTTACTTCCACCCTGCCACACCCAATATTAGAGAGGAACTCTTATTTTGGAACAAGACACGATGAAACTTGTAATAATGTATATTTATCTGGACTTTACGGAGAAGAACGGCTTGAAATGTAATCATTGTACGTGGATATATTAAAGCGCGGTAGTCGTCGCGCTGCGCATGTTCGACATTTGTGTTGATAAACCTTGATTTTCCCACAATTCAATGCGCTCTTCAAATGGAAATCACAAGTGTGAGGTTTGACCTGGGCGCGACTTGCACTGATTACCGCCGGTGACTCCTTCGATACCTTCCAATCACATGAAAAT